GATGCCCCTGGATCCCTGGCAGTGCCCAAGGTCAGGCTGGACATTGGGCTTGGAGCAGCCTGGGACAGTGGGAGGTGTCCCTGCCATGGCAGGGGGTGGAATTGATGTTCCTGAAGGTCCCTTCTAACCTAGACCCTTCTGTGATTCTCTGACTCTGATCTGTATTTTCTAGAGGAAGAGTTACTGATTTTCAGTGCTGTTGTAGATGTTGCCAGTGCAGGGGAGGAATCCAAATGCCAGTGCTGAGGCAGCAGAGGCTGCTGGAGCCAGGAGGTCTCGCAGCCTGCAGCCAGCATGGGGAGCCTGGGGAGCTGGCACAAAGCTGGGCTCTGGGACAAGCCAGAGCAGTGGGGACACTGCCTTGCTCCAGCAGCCTGGAGCACATGCCAGAGGTCAGCCCAAGGCTTGAGGAAAAGCACTTTGAGGTGAGATGGAGATTTCTGGCCATGTTTTGGAGGCTCCCCTGGCACAGTGAGCCAGGCTTTAACCCACTGCTCATAAGCATTATTTTTCCTGCCTTTAAGGTACAAGAGTTAAATCCACCTGGATCCCAGAGGAGTAACCCTGCAAGGCCCTGAATCTACCTGCAGAGCCTCACAGGCATTATCAGCCCCACCTTCCTGCTCACACAGCTTTTTCCCATCACCTCAGTGGGAGTTTTGCCTCAACACGAGTCAGGGTTATTCTGCCATTAGCTGCTCTCCAAAGTGTCCCAGAATCCCTAAATTCAAGTTTCCAGAGCAGCCCCTCTGAGCAGCAGCACAGAGTGAAGCCCTGCAGGGCACTAGCCCAGGTGGCAGAGTACTGGCAGACCTTCTGGCTAGGGTCAGCAGCACAGTCCCATAGCAAGCACAGCTCTCCCAGCTCTCCCACAGGCTTGGGAGAGCCAGTCCTGACCTTTGGAACCTCCTCACCTGCCACCCACATCCAAGCTCCCCTTCCTGCTGAGGCAGGGAGAGAACAGAGGGCTTTAACTCCTGACAACAGCACCAAAGCTCCTTGCAAGCAGGATCAGACCTTGAGAGGTGGTTGGGGTGAAACAACACCCTGAGAAAGTCTCAAAGCAGTTTGAAGTTGTGTGGTGAAACCCTTTATCCAAATCCCACAGGTGGGGACACAGGTAAAGTGAAATGCAGTGGTTTTCACCTTCCACATCCAGCAATGAGTGACCTGAGGACACTTCCCTCATCACCATCCTCATTAGCTCCAGAGTCAATCCCAAAATGCAGGTTCAGACCCCAGCAAGCTGCAGCCCTGCCCTGGAGATGAGCCAGTTTGTAGCAAGGGATGCAGCCCCAGAGCACCAAGATCCCTGTGGGTGCTTTATGCCTGGAGTTGGAACACTTCAGCAGGCCCAGGGACACTGAGGCTCACGCTGCCAGGAGCTCAAAGCTGCCTGCACACATCCTGAGGGTCAGGGGGAATGTACTGCATTGCAATTGGAAGCAGATTCACAAAGAGAGCCTGTGTTCAGGCACTGAACTATAAATACTCCTTTTTGAAAAGGCATAACTGGAAAAATGTCTAAATGTCTATTTTTGCCTCCTCTGCTTCACCCACTCAAAACATTGACATCATACCAAGCTCCTACTGAGGCAGTGTCACTGTGAGAGCTGGAGCAGCACAACTGCTCCCAGCACAAGTGCTGGGACAGGGAAAAAGCATCTTTGTGTCCTGGAAGAAGGAGCAGGGCTTGGGGAGGGAAATCCTTGCACAGAAATGGCAGCTTTTCCACTGCTCTGTGACCCTGACACAAATGACTCAGCAAAGCCCAGGTCAGGCTGTCACAGCTTTGCCCTGGCTGATCTGAGGGCCAGGACTCCTCCAAGAGGCTTCCAGCAACCCAGATTCAGCCTTAGCAGCCAAACATGAAGTGCTTTGCTCCAACAGAATCATGGATTAATTTGTGTTCGAGCTCATGTGCTCCAGCCCTCCTGCATTCCATCCATGCCAAGCTGCCTCTAAGGCGAGAATCCCCTGTGGGTGGGAGTCAGCTCAGCAGGTCTGGGAAGAGCCATGAGGGACCAGAGAGCACCAGGCAGCAGCAGCAGCTCCATCCCCTTGGTGTATGCAGCCTCTCCCCTCCTGTGAGCATGGGGAGCACAGGCTGGGAGCTGCTCTGGCTTTCGCAGCTCAGCCCCTCAGGGCTCTACATGGCCCTTCTGAGGACAGGGATGTTCCAGCCTGGAGCTGCTGCTGCACAGGTCTGGTGGGAACACAAGAGCCACGTGGGGATTGTAGACACAAAGTTCTGAGGAATTCTGCTCTCCCTGGTGTGAACTGGGCAGCTCTTGACTCTGGGCACAACAGCTCAGCCTTGGAGCTGCTGTGCTCACCAGGCTTGTGACCAGAGATGGAGGTTCCCAGTGACAAATGGCTTTGTCCAGCTAAAGGCTCTGTCTAGGAGCTCAAAGTGCTGTGGGGACCCCATTGTAGCACATTCTTGACTCAGAATGACCCTACCTGCTACCAAGGGTCTGTTACCTCATGCCAGTCCCTCCAGCAGGGCAGGTATCTCACCCAGAGATGTTGTTCAAACCCATATGGACGCCTTGGTGACTGCTCAGCAACAGCTCTGGAGCAGAGGCACTGCCCCAAACCCCTCAGCAGCTGCAGACCAGCCCTCAGCCACATCCCTGAGTGACACTAAACCCTCACGGGGGGCCCAGAGTGACACCAAACCCTCACAGGGGCCCCGAGTCACAAGCCCCCACTGTTGCTGGTGCTGGGCAGTGCGAGCCCCAGCAGGAGATCGGCCTGTGCTGTGCTCGGCCCTGCAGCGCCCCCAGCCTGCCCAGCCCTGTGCCAGGCCCTGTCCCTGTGCCTCAGAGCCGCCCCGGCAGGGCCCAGCCCCAGAACTGCGGCCTCCCCGGCCCACGGTGCCACCATGCCCGAGGAGCCGCTGCCAGGCTGAGGGAGTAATTCCAGCCCGGCCCCAGGAGATGTCCCAGAACCCCTCCTGGCCTCAGGCCACAGCGTTCCATGGGCTCTGTGTCCCAGGATGTGCTTGGGCAGGATTCCTGTGGCACCCTGCCAAGCTGAGCTGCTTGGCTGTGGCCCAAGGACCTGGGACACCCCTGGGGGTTATTTGGGGGGTTCAGCTCATCTAGAACACAGAGCTCACCTACGTGGTGAGACCTCCTGGTACCCCCAGTGCCCCCACTGCCTCTGTGGCAGCCCTGCCACCTCAAGGCTCCAGAATATCAGGGAATGTTGCAGCTGGGGCTGGAAAGACCCCCTCAGAGCTCTGCGCTAATGTACAAATGGCATGAGTTTGTACAACCACCATCCTGTGACCTGCAGGTCTGGGGAGGTCCCTTTTATCCTCAGTGACAACAGGAAAGCCAACATTTCCCATAAAGTGAAGTTACTGAAAAACTCATTTTAGGAATCACCAAAGCCAGCATGTCTGGGGTTTGTTGGTGGTTTGGTTGTGTTTTTTTCTTTTTTTGCTTTCATTGTGGGTTTTCCCCTCTTTTTTCCCACAAGTGCTTTTCAGAACACTTGCATTTGCCTGTTTCCATTTTATTCTGATTTGTCCTGGAGAAGCAACACTTGAGCCTTCACGAAGGACATAATGCATTTTCATCTACTTTTTAATGATAAAATAATTCCCTGCCTTGAATCCTTCAGACCCCTGGCCTGTTGCTACAGGAAGCTGCACTGCCAGAACATTTCCAAGGCAGTTTCAAGATTCCTGAACACCAGGTATGATCCAGCTGCATAGAACTGACCCTGCTGCAGGGAAAATGAGACCAAAATCAGCTTGCGGGAGGAAAAGGAGAGCAAAGAGCAGCCCATGACACTCCCATCAGTCCTGGAGCTGGCCAGGGACAGGGATACCCTGTTGCAGACACAGTCATAGGGGTGTCCTGGGACATCTTCCGACAGAGTCCCAGCACACATGCAAACACTTCCATGGGAAAAAGAAAAACGGGAGTGTTTTTCCAGCCACCTCAGCTACCGTTCCTGGCTCTCCGGGGATGATTCCTACCTTTTCCTACACCATTTCCTGCCACAGAACCGCCTGTAAATAGCTCTGGCCATCCACCCGAGGGATGCGGAGGTGCAGTGTGAAAATGGTTTAACACAGATCCACACTGCAGCCCTGGAACAGCCTCTGTGCAGCCAGGAGAAGAAGAGGGGCTGTTTGCCTTCTCCCCATCCCTGAGCAAGCACAAACAACTGCCAGCTGCTCCAGTGGCCTCTGCATGGGCAGGGCTGGCTGACAGCAACCCTGGGGGGAAACCAGGACATCGGGAAAGCCGTGGCTTCCCCGCTCCCCTGAGAACGTGGAATTGAACAGCAAACCCCGGGAGCCTTGGCCAGGGCCTCCTGTCCCATCAGCCATGGGACCCTGTAATTCAATGTGCCCCCACCCCAGAGCTTTGCACCAGGAGGTGCAGCAGACATTCCCCCATCACAGGCAGGAGGATACAGACCCCCTGGACTCCCACTGGCTCTGCCCCCTCAGTAGGGAGGCAGCACTTGGCTGTGTCCCTTTCCAAGATCCCCCAAACAAAGCCTCAGGGAAGAGCTGGAAAGGGAGTTTTATTTATTTACTTCCTTATTCACTCATTTATTTATTCCCAGTTCTGTGGCTCATGACCAGTGCTGAGGGTTGGCAGGGCCACTCCTGAGCACGGGGCTCGTGACATGCTGCAGGCACAGTACCAGGCTCAGAATAGGACAGGGAACAAATTTATTTACCCAGGCCCAGAAAGCGGTAGCTTCTCTCTTTTTTTGTCACATTTTGTCATTCTTCACATTTTTTCCCTGCAGAAGCCAAACACCCCTTCCCAAAGCACTCAGCAGCCAAGTGGCATCAGTCCCACAGCAGCCAAAATCCCAGGAGCTGCACAGCAGGAACCACAGCAGAAAATACTCATGGTTATCAGATAAGTTATTTGTAACTCCAGCAGAGTTTTCCAGGACAAATGGCTTCCTTAAGCAAATTTTATTTTGACAGCAAAAAAAAAAGGCCATTTTTTTCCCCCACCATCACAAGTATTTTATTTCAAAAGCAGAGGTTGTGGCTTGCTCCAGACCTAAGAGCAGAGAACAGGATGCATGTCCATCCCCTTCTGCTTTTATTCCAGTCAGCCTTTAGGAGGAGACTCCAAGATGCTGCTTGCAGGGGAAGTTTAATGTAGTCTGGGAAACACTCAGGAGCATCTTCTCCCTTTGCTCCAGCTGCAGCCAGGTCATTCCCTCCGGCCGGAACACGCCAGGTTGTTCCGGGCCAGCACAGACGAGGGAGGTTTTCTCGCAAAAACAATCCTGTGGCAAACAGTCGGAGGTGCCGAGGCGGGGCCGGTGGTTCCCGTGGAACGCTCCTGCGGGCCGGCGGTGCTGGCCGCGCTGCTGAGCTGCCCGGGGCCGCGGGGCTCGGNCTGCCCGGCCGCTCCTGCCGCAGCAGCCGCACCAGCGGCCCCGTGTGGGTCACGTAGGCGGGCCCGGGGGGCTGCCGGGGGATCAGGGCTGCGGGCAGCCCCACGTTGGGCGAGGGCAGCACATCCTCTGAAAGTCAAAACACAGTGTGAGAGCGCGGCCGGGCGCTGCCGCCGCCTGTGCGCCCCGGGCAGGGGCACGAAGAGTCGCGGTGACACTGGTGGCTGGGTTCTTTCTCCCCAGGACCGAGACTGACGAGAGAGAGCCCGTTTTCTCATGCTCGGCCTCAGTTGCTTATTCTTTCCTTATCTATATTACATATACAGAATATAAGAAGCTACATGCACTAAGATAGAAAGGTGCAAAATGGGGAGTAAAGAATCTCTTTACTCTTTTATGTGTCTTTTACGTGTCTATTTATCCAATAATCAAATGCCAAGTAAGTTATTTCTTTTAGTGACCCAATTACATGACACCAGTGTGCGGCACTGTGGATTTTTTTTTCATCCAATCACTCATTATTATCCAAAAACCCTTAGAAGAAGATGAAGAAAGAAGAAGGACGAGAAGGAGAGACAACATCCTGAAGGCTCCATCTTGGATTTATTATTAATATAACTAAAACTCCAAACTCTTAATTTTTTCACCCAGTGATTTAAGAAAACTCCAACTTACATTATTAGTTTCTTTACTTAACTTTAGAAGCTGTCTCCATGGTTTTAGGCTAAACTCGGGGTTCTCTTGGGTGTCAAAAACAGGCACCACAGATAAGAACCTATTTTCTGTGCCTCTGACCCCAACAACCAAGAAGTCCTTTGGTGGCACCAGGGACGCTCTTTGGAGCCAAGGACCCCACAGGGATCAGCCACAGCCCCTGCCATGGGGCAGCTGTGCCTGTGGCCACTCTGCATGGAGACCCAAATAATCCCTGGAAGAAACGGCTGCTGTCCATCATCTCCAGCCTTTGTGCCTTGATTTCTGTGTTGTCACAGGCTGTGACACACTGGCCAAGGGGTGGGGGTTGGCTGACCTCCTTCATGCTCCCCACAAACAGTGCTCCCTCCTCCCTGCAGGGACACCCCTGGGAGCAGGCCTGGCTGCCCAGGCTCTTCCCAGAGCTAAATGATGCATTTTCAGGGGAAAACAAAGCTTCCACACCAAAAGAAGTTGGTGCTACTGTGGCATTAACTCAGCTCCATAGCCATGCCTGTGCACACTGAGCTCCCCCACCTGGAAAACCCAACCAAAGAAGCCTGGCGTTGAATTCTGAGCTCTCAGACTGGGGCACACTTTGCTTCACCAGAATTTCTTTTGGCAGGCTGGGATTGTCCCTGTCCAGGCTTTCCCAGCTCCACAGGTGAAGAGTCTGGCTGAGCTCACATGTGCAGGCTGCAGGAATGGCTCCTGTGCTATTTAGTTCTGGATAAATACTACCACTCATGGGATATTCCTGGGGTTTCTAAAGAGCCTTGGGCTCAGCTGCTGTGCCAGATTGCCACCGCATCATCTCACAGGGCAATTAAGGGGTTTTACACTTTCCTAAATGGTGAGAGGAAAAAAGCAATGTGATTGAGAACATCCCCAGTTTGGATTTTTGATGCTATGAGAACTTTTGGTGTCAGGAGAAGTTTGGATACCACCAGCTGAATTTTCCTGTGTGGTTGTGGGTACTTGGGTGCAACAAGCCCCAGACAAGGCCACAAGATCGGCCAAATTTCCCATGCTGGAGAGAGCTGAGACAGAGGCTGATGCAAATCCCAGACATTTGTCCTCTGACCTGCTCTCTAACCATTCCCAAAGCAGAAATGATAAAGAAGCCACAGGGAGAGGACACACAAACATTGCCTGCCCGCAGAGCCTGGATCCAGCAGCTTTCCCTGCATTTCATCCCTGGGGAAGCCCCACAGAAGCAACTTCTTCACACCAGGAACGTGATAGGAGGACCCTGGGAACTGAGGATGGGAGTGCAAAGCACTGGAGAGAGGATGCCAAGGGAAAGCCCAGAGCTGACAACATCTCGGAGCAAAACGAGATGGGATCATCAGCCACACTTGGATATTTACAGCTTGTGCTTGGCTACTGGCCTGGAAGTGATTCCAGAGGCCAGGGAGAAAGGGCTTCACAACATCCCTGGGAATGCTCTGAGCATGAGCTCCTCTCTGTGCAGCACCTGCCAGCGAGAGCTATCCCAACAGTGCCTGGGATTCTGGAAGGACTGTCCTGGCAGAGCTGTCCTGGCTCCCCTCACACTGCAGGATCACTGCTGCCCTGCCCAGGGCCCATCTGGAGCTGCCCACACTGAGGGATCAGCACCTGCATAGTGGAAATACTCCCACACACTCCTGTCCCACCCCAACACCACCTCGGGCTCTGGCTGAGGCACTGGGGGCACTAGTGGGACTGGGATGTTCCCTCCAGGCTGTGGCACCTGAGATGAGCCGGGCCCCACAGCATGCAGACATTCCAAAAGTTCAAGTTAGTGGTTTTCATCCTCAGTCACAAGCTGCTCCGGAGGTTCTGAAGGACGTTGTGCAGTGGATTCCCTTTGCATGACTCAAAGGATATTAAAAATGTCTGCAGCCAGGGTCCTACAGGTGTGGGAGCTCCCAGTCTGAACTGGCAGCACAGCACGCAAGGAGAGGATGCGCCTCAGACCTTGCCCACAGCCACCCCCAGCAACACAGAGAGACCTGGAGGCTTCTAAGCTTCTGCAAGCACGTGGGGCCACTATGGTGCCCTTTTCTCCGAGGCCAGCTGGGACAGGGCTTGGAGCACCCTGCTCTATGGAAGGTGTCCCCACCATGGCAGGGGTGAGCTTTAAGGTCCCTTCCAACCCAAACCAGTCTGAGATTCTCTGCTACAGTCAAAAAAGTCAAATCAAAAAGCTTCCTTTGTGCACCACAAGCTGCCCTCTGCATCCAGCTGGGGCTCAGCAGAGCCAGGACTCCCTGGGGCTGTCCCAGGCTCAGCCCAGCCAGGCTGTAAAACAGGCCCAGGGTGTTGGGACTCCACAGGAGCCCCCTTTGGAGAGCAGAGTGTAAAAGACCCCTTGCTCAAACAATGACCCTTTTGTGATGCTGAAAATGGACAAGCCCAGAATTTTACAGTTCATTATAGAATTATGCTTTCTAGGAGAGTGGGGACACACATGGCCCACTTTAAATCCAAATTAATGCTGCTAAACTTCAAGACATTGACAGGCAAAGGTCCACATTTTTTTAACACCATCCAGAAAAGCACCACCAAAGACAGGAACAGACAGATACACAGAAGTATCATCACACAGAGAGCAACTTCTTATCAGCCAGAGCTTAAAGCGCTTGCTGAGATCTGCTCAGTCTTTTCCCAATTTCCAGACATAATTATCAGCTCAGTTCCTCAGCAGGCTGTGCTGTATCGCTGCCATTGCATGAAGCTTCATTTGCTCATTTCATCTACCTTTTCATGATGAGAATAAAACAAAACCTGAAAGCCAGCCCTGGTGCTAAACCCTTGCTCAGCAAAGCTGTGCCTCGTGGTGCCAAGCCTGGCAGTGCCAGCACCCAGAGCTGGGCAGGGCTGCAGAGAGCAAAGAGTCCCTGCCTGCTCTGCTTCCATTATCCAGCTGCAGGACAAGAGATTCTGGGTAATGCAAGGGAAAACTCTCCCCAGAGGAAGGAGGGAGGGTGTTTTCTGAGAGCCATTTGAGTCATAAAGCACCCAGCACTTTGCCTCATGCTACAGCTCATGAGTTTAATTCTCAGAGCTGCTGGCAGTGGGACAGCTTTCACACTCTTATATTTAGAGAGCCTTGCCTGACAAACAGCCAAAGCTGTCGCCTGTAAATCAGGGGGTTCTGACAGGGCCCAGAGCAAGCAGTAAAAGCAAATGGGGGAAATGAAATTACAGGCTGCAGAGGGACCTCTGTGAAAGAACAGGCTTTTATTTTCTGTTTCTAAAGTTCACAATCATTAGAAATATTTCTCCCTCTGTTCTTTCATGTGTTTTTAAGCCAGTCCCCGCTGTCAGGCCCTGGGCCCCCTCAGCTTCCCATTCACTTGGCTTTGGCCACGTGGTTCCCACATTCCTGGCTGGGGTAGCCTGGCCTGCAGAAGCTGACAGGGCTGGGGCAGAGGAGATTCCACACGTGGAATCCATTCTCTGTAGCCAGGGCAGGCAGGAGCAGCCTGGGCACTCACATCCCTGCAGGATCCCCACAGGACTCCAGGCTTAGGGACAGGGTCCTGCCTGGGATGGAGAACACAGCACTCAGAACAGGCCTTGGGGTGAGGGTGGCAGTGTGACATCCATGGCTGGAGTCAGCCTTAAAGGCTTTTCCCAGAATTAATGACTCTACAGGATCCCACTGCCATAGGATTTTCATCCTCACTGAAACAGCTCCTTTTCCTACAACCACAGAGGAGCACAGAAAACTCCTGGACTACTATGGGAAGAAGCAGCAGCTGATGTCCCTCCTGCCCCAAAGCTTGGGGGCCCAAGAAGGCTGACAGCCTGCTTGGCTGGGGGATCCTCAGGGCACAGACTTCCTGCTTGCAAGGCTCCCATCCAAGGGTTTTCCAACCTCTCAGCATAAGCAAAACGAGGAAAAGCAAGTGCTCCTCTGACAGAAGCAAAATTCAGCCCATCATTGTCCTGTACAATTCGGCAGCACTTTGCTCCCATCTCCGACAGGATTTTAGTTTGAGCCTAAGGACAAAGATGGAACAGCAATTGCAAAATCAACTGCTGGGAACAAAATCAAGTTGATGAAAGGATAAAGGCAACAAAAATCCCCTTTATTCATTCATCTGATTCTACTGTTTGAAGTTCTCCATGAGCAGCTCCCAAGCCAAGCTCCTCCCTGTGTGTGTGAACTGGGGCTGTGTGATGAAGATGGAAAGAGAGGCTCATGGGCTCTGAGAGGGGAGGAGCAGGAACAGGTCAACAGAAGAAGCAGCATGGCAGATTTGGGAAGTCAGGATCCCACAACAGATTCCAGGGAAGGTGAAAAATCTTGACTAGGTGCTCGGGCTACAGTGAAAAGCTAACAGAAGGAGCAAATAGCTCAAAAGTATTTTATCCCTGTTTATTCCAGGACAGGCCTGATCCTACATCAGGTGGAGTGGACAAGTGTCCATCCACTGCCTCCA